GTCGGTGCGGGTGGCTCCCCAGCCGGTGGCCTGACTCTGCGGTGCCCATGCTGCCACCTCTCCACCTACTCTACGCCAATTTCTCTTCAGTTTTATTTTTTTTCCCTTTTGAATTCCTGGGCCTGTTGGTGAGGTCCCTTCTCATCCTGCTCCAACATGGGGAAGTGGCACTAATTCCCCATTTCTCTGCCCAAGCGGGCTCTGACTGCCCTGGGCTGAAGGGCAGTGTCTTCACCACCTGCTCCAAGGGTGGAGGAGCCACTCTGGGGACGCTGGAGGTGACTTTGCAGAGCAGGCGTAGAGGAACGGAGCTGGCGGAGACCCAAAGCACGGAGGTACCCAGACTCACTCCTGCTGTCGTTCCCGCGGCAGGAAGCAGGAGAGTTTGCCGGATTCCCCCGCCACCTACTTGGAAAAGCTGCGAACAAGGCAGATTTTTCTTTTAAGGACTCAGGCACGATTTCTTTTGTCATCTCTATTGGTTTTCAAGCTCCTCAACCTCTTCCTCCCCCTCCGTGGGCAGTGTGGTGGGACCACGGCCAAGCAGAAGGGGCAGGTGTGTTGGTCCCAGTGTGCCGGCCCGGGCACGCTCTGGTCCCCCCCAAGCCCACCCTGTGAACCTGTACACACGTGGTGTTTCCTGTGGTAAAGCTGAGCAGCGCCCAGCATCCCCTGGACCAGAGGAGGTCTGGCTCTTGGGGACAGGGCGGACGTTGGGATAACAGCAATTGGAAGGATGCTGAGAACTTCAAACCTCTTGAATATTAAAAGCAAAAGTATTTTAATAATGTTGGGGTGTGGGGGGCGGGGAGGGAGGGGGTTCGTTTGGTTCACATTTTGCAGGGGGTTGTTTTTCTTTGGTGCCAGGATTTGTACCTTATAAGCCCCGAGGGTTTTTTGTGGTCTCTTTGGTTGTTACGTGTGATGTGGACAAGGGGAAATGGGGAATGGTTTCCCAGCTGGAGACGCATCTTTATACTGGTGATGCCGTACCGAGCAGCAGCCGCGGCTCTGCCTCTCCCGTTCCCTGACATGTCTCCAGGTTCTGTTGCTCGGACTGGCAAACGACCTTCAAGGGTTTACCGGGATCAAGTCCCAAATTTCCCCTGGGATGGAGCTGCTCCGCAGGATGTGGGATGGCAGCGGTTGCCGCTGGAAGTAGTACCTGGGATGTGGGGCCAGAGCAGAGCGGGGGGACATAGTGTTCCATCCTGGGTGACGGAGTGGGGTTCCCTCCCAGTTATTTCTGCAGGAGCCTCCATAGCCGTGCATGGGGCTGGGGGGCAGCTGCATGTCCCC